CCTCCTCCTCCTCCTTCTTGGTCTTAGCAGCCAATTTAAGCACTCAGGTCATTCCTAAAAGCTGATTCCCCACCCCTCAAGGCCTGTGTGTTAGTTTTCAATACTGCATGACAAATTACCACAAATTGAGTGACCTAAAACAACAGCCATTCACTCTCTCACAGTGTCTGGGGTCAAGTGTCTGGTTAGTTCATCCTCTGGTTGGGGTCTTCCCAGGCTGAAATCAAGGTGCTGGCTGGGCTGTGGTCTTACTTGAGGTTGGCTCCTCCTCCAAGCCCACTGGTTGTTGGCAGGATTCTGTTCTTGCAGTTATAGGACTGAGGTCCCATTTTCTAGCTGGCTGTCTGCAGGGGACCCCTCTCAGATTCTAGAGGTCGCCCTCAGATCTTCATCATGCAGCCCTGAAACAATATGGCAGCTCACTTCTTTTAAAAATATGTAAGTTTTTATTGATTTCAGAGAGAGAGGAAGAGAGAGAGATAGAAACATCAATAATGAGAGAGAATCATCATTCAGCTGCCTCCTGCACACCTCATACTGGGGATCAAGCCCCCAATCCAGGCATGTGCCCTGACCGGGAATAGAACCATGACCTGGTTCACGGGTCAACACTTAAGCATTGAGCCACACAGACTGGGCAGCAGCTCACTTCTTTTATAGCCAGCAGAAAAACCTCTCTCCAGCTGGCTATGAAGGACAGAGAGAGTCTAATAAAACACAACCAAGAATTAAAAATGTTTTTTATTTGAGTTGTGCAAGGGTGCGGTACCTATGTGATAACCTTTCTGTATTGAATTCATTAGATACTATAGGCGCATTTAATTTAAGTTGAGAAATACTGCTGCAACTCTATAGTATTTCAGTTGATACTATTTTTGCCAGTAAATTGAAACAGATATGCAACTAACAGTGTCAAGTATTGCTAAAATATTCTTATCATCTTGTGTCTATTATTTAAATAGTTTTAGAAAACATTCCTGATGCCATTAACAAAAGAATTTCAGCAAGTGAAGACTTCCATTTACTTTTATTCCTTTTGTTATATACATTCACATTCTAGTGAGAGTTAGTTGTAATTTTAAAGATTTCCTATTAGTATTTCACATTTGTTGAACACTATATATTGGAAATTTTTGGATATTATTGGAATATTCAAACATTAAAATGGTGGAAATTATAAATTGTAAAGGATAAAAATTTTAGTCATCTTTGATTAATGAGTTTTGCTACTAGAGGACTGAAAATATTTTTAAGTCATATTTGTTCAAAGAACCTAATGTTTATTGGAGTAAGACCATGTCAATATGCATATTAAAAGTGATTGGGCTAAAAAAAATATATAATTGGACTGAGATATTAACTGAATCCCATACTTATTCAAAATTTATCCATTAAATGCTGATACACTTGTTGGCCTCATCTCAGTTTAGCCAAAAGCTAAAAGATTAACTCAATTAATCTGTCTCTTGTTAAGTATTTGTTTTAAGTAATTTAGGGCAAATGACCAAAGAAAAGAATATAGAGCTTTAAAGGATTAGAGTGGTGGAAATAGATGTTTCATGTTTCAAAGGGTTTTCTCAATCTCTTTTATTCTTTATAATTTAAGCTGCTTATTTTGTTTGACATGTTTTGTTTTGTTTTATTTTGTTTTGTTCTCTAGTGACTTCTGTTGATAGCACCTCTCTTGATTCTCTGCTTTTTCTCTCACTGACTGTGTGGACTTAATTTCTTTTTATAATGCCAGCCTTTCCTCACCATGCACCCCAACCTGGCTTTTGATGTATCCTCTTTCTGTTGTTCACACAGAAAGGCTAACTTTTTTTTTTAATAGAAATTTCAGCCAATAGTTTGAGGGTACTGGTGAAAGAAACATAGTTGCAATGACTCAATAGTTACATTCTTTGTGCTTTCAGACCTCCTGGAATGAGGTTCCTTTGGTACAAAGGCTGTAGTCCACCAGTAATAGACCCTAAGGACTCTCTCTTTGGCAACTGCGGGTGTGTGTGTGTGTGTGTGTGTGTGTGTGTGTGTGTGTGTGTCTACATATACATATATCATATACAAATATATATATTATAGAGATAGAAATAAAGATGTGAAATAAGATCTTCACACAACAAAGCACGCACATCTAATTAATGCCAGCTTACTATAGAATCATGTCTACCTAAATAGCATGTTCAAGAAAGGCTTGTCTGGCCAGGCCAGTGTTGCTTAGTGGCCAAGTGTCGACCTATGAACCAGGAGGTCACAGTTCGATTCCTGGTCAGGGCACATGCCTGGGTTTCTGGTTCGATCCCCAGTAGTGAGTGTGCAGGAGGCAGCTGATCAATGATTCTCTCTCATCATTTATATTTCTATCTCTCTCTCCCTCTCCCTTCTTCTCTGAAATTAATAAAAATATATTTAAAAAATAAAAGAAAGGCTTGTTTCATAAAACAAAATATCTGGGATGAGGTTACTAGATGTATTATCAGCATTATAATTCTTATTGCACATTAGTTTTATTTCAATTTTTTTGAGGAGATATATGTGAAAATGGGCTATTATACAATCATTTAAGTTTATATGTATGCATTTATGATCTTACATATTCAGATATATTTATTTATAAATGTATTTTCCAAGTGAAAATGAAAATTTATATATATCATCTATATTAAAAAGTAGATTAAAAATGAGAAAAATAGCTATTCCAAATGTAATCATTTAATATTTTATACCTAGCTGTGCATTTCAGTTTACTCATTTTGAAAATGAAAATTTATCCCACAGCTTTCTCAGAATTTGAACAAAATGTATGAAATTAAAGTGTATGAACTTTAAGAGTGCTCTCCAAACATTTTTGCATATTACTTATTTATTTCTACATTACATATGTGTATCACTGTACCAATACATAAGGTACACAATACAATACACAAATATTTTTAAGGATGTAATAAAAATATAAGTAAATATTTATATAATAGTTTCTTCCCATGCTCCAATGGATTGTCTTGCATAGTCCTGAAGGACAAACACCAGATTTTGGAGACCACTGCCTTAGAAAACTAAAAAGTCAAATAACTTGGGGTATTACATTTATTTACATGCTTTGTTACTCTCCACTCTTTAAAAAATTTACTGATTGATTGATTAATTTGAGAGAGAGAGACACCGATTTGCTGTTCCACTTATTTATGCACTCATTGGTTGCGTCTTGGATGTGCCCAGATTGGGGATTGAACCTGCAACCTTGGTGTATCAGAACAATGCTCTAACCAACTGAGCTACCTGGCCAGCCCCCTCCAGTATTTAAAATAAAAAATTTAATTGTAAGCAGTAGAAATAAAATGAGATCAAAATTTTACATACATTTGATGCTAGATTTTTGCATTCACTTTTTGAGGATTGAGTTTACTATTCAGGTTCAGAATTTGCATATTACTTATTTATTTTTGCTGCTTAACCTTATGTTTCGTTGAATTTTATAAGAAAGGCTAGAAGTATACATGAAACTGTCAAGCACAGCCCACAAACTAAAGAAGTGGGCAAAACAAGGATTACCATGTCTAAGACTCACTTTAGCACATAACCTAGAGATGTCATTATGCAAAGACAGGCACTACTGGCTTGAATTAGAAGTTTTGGGCTGCTTATTGTAGGCTTCTAGACACTATTTCTCAGAAATAAGCAAATAGTTCAAGGCATTCAAGCAGGATCTCAAAAGATATTTCCAATCTCTGTAGTCTCCATTTTAGGGAAGGCATACAGAAAGAGGATGGGAAGTTAATATTGAGCCATGCGCTGGGAGAAAAATCTAATGTCCCTGAAGAAAAGGAACCTTGTTCACTGATACAAGAAAATATTAAGTATAAGGCTTATGAACTATTAAATTTATATTTAATAAGCCAATCAATGTTAGGTCAGTGTGCTAAATAGAAAGTACCAGGGAGGTAATAAACGCAGTCATATTATGGTTTTTATTTTGAAAGAGTTTAGTCCACATTTGCAGTGTGAATACATGAATAGATTTGTGGACAGACAAGGGGGCGTTGTTGGAATGCAACCTCAGGTGGTGATCTGATCATAAATTCCTAACTGGGCAGGTCATGTGGGTAGTCATGCCCCAGGCATACATCTTCTTTCGTAAAAGGTTTGTCTTTGCCATAAGCAAGCCCTGTTCATTTTTTCTGTGCATCTAGGTTAACACACCTTTGCCATAACCACCCTCGAGAGCACATCATCTTAACTGTCCTGTAATCCAGTTCTCACCTTGTACCTCCCATCTCCCTGTAATCTTTCTTAAATTCCCTCCTGCATTTCAAATGCATAAAAGAAGCTGCAAAACTGTTACCCTCTGGAGCATTTGAGATCTTGTTCCCTGGCATTGCCATCAGTTTGGCTCAAATAAACTCATAAACATACTCCCATGATACATCACCTCAAATTCTTTGTGAAAGAAGGGATATTTGAAAGTGATTACAAGCGCAAACGCACCTTTGCCTACAACTATGCAAATTCTATAAGTGAATTTGCATTGACTTGAGATAAATTAGGCTGTAAAACCAAAACAATTTAAAAAACAAGAGTAAAAGGCAAATATCTAGTAATAAATGTTAACTAGTTGAGGTTAAGTCCTCATGTTGTAAGCTTACTTTCAGTCTTCGTAGCACTTACCTAGTTACAACTTGCTCCTGCTAGACCATAAGCTCTTGATGGCAGGGATTCTGCCAATCCTTTATATTCCGCTGTATTCCAAAGCAGACAGCAAAAATAGTCACTGATTCAATAAATAAATATGTCAAGAAATGTTTAAGCAAAGCTGTAGTCATCAAACATAAAATAATTTTTCAGATTCCTAGCAACCAGGACTAAGGGAGAAGCAGCCAACCGACTTGGCTTGTGGCCTGTTTATATTGGATAATTCCAGGATTATCTCTGTTCCAGAAATCAGTGTGGGAAAACAAACAAGCAGACACTCCACCTTCATAAAGCCACTCTGCATTCCTAGTTGTTAGTGCCTTGAGGATTAGAGTCCAGAGTTCATGCCACTGCCCTCGGTTTCAGCACAGGCCTTGGGTCTCTTCAGAAACACAGTCATGGAGGTGCTGATTTTCAGATGGGAACCTGGTGAATGAAAAACAAAACACAAATCTTGTTACTTGCAATGAGGGTTTAGGAGGCGGCAGAATCTCCTTACTAGTCCTGGCCAACAAGATTAGAACAGGACACACGTCATTTGTAGGAAGTGATTAGGCTCATGCACTAAACTTCCCACCTTCAGAACTGGCCCCGCAGTCTGGGGAAGAGCAAGACTATGATGGCTGCAGAACACTCTAGGAATACAGCAGCGATTTTCAACATTTTCCATTTCATGGCACACAAACTAATTACTAAAATTCTGTGGCCCATCAAAAAAATGTATTTTTTTCTGATCTGACAAAAAATAGGAATAAGTTTGATAGAGTTACAAATAATAATAGTAGTAGTAGTAATTACCTACTCTTTTTCTTCCAAAGTGACTTTTTTTAAAAAAATTGGTATATAAGGATTTCTGGTACCAAGAATTAACCAATCAGTCCGGCCAGCATGGCTCAATGGTTGAGCCTCAAACCATGAACCTGGAGGTCACGGTTTGATTCCTGGTCAGGGCACATGCCCCGGTTGTGGTGGATCCCCAGTAGGGGGCATGAAGGAGGCAGCTGATCAATGATTCTCTCTTATCATTGATGTTTCTATCTCTCTCTCCCTCTCCCTTCCTCTCTGAGATCAATAAAAATATATTAAAAAAAGAATTAACCAATCAGATGCAATCTTATTATGCAAGGTGACCATTAAGATGCAACTCTATTATATGACCTATTCCAAAGTGGATTTATGGTTCAAGAGAGGACATTTACACCAGACAACTGTTGATCTGTTGAAAATTGCTGGAATACAGATTCAGGAGAGCCATTAAAAATCCTACTGGGCAATCTTCTCCGAGTTTCGAACTTGTGAAACCGGACAATCAATGGGTCAGGGCTGCCTGTCACTTCTGAAGCCCATTAAGCAGATACAGGGTTGAATCCTATATGAATGTTTATTGCAATAATGCTGATAATATAGGAGAGTAGCAGGTCACCCATGAAAATCTGTTCTACCCTTCCCATAAGCGAGCTGTTTATATTGGATAGAAGGGCAATGATTGCGTGGGAAAGTAGGAATTACAGACGTGGGGAAGTAGGCAAGGTGTAATGGTTACAGGCAATGCAGGCTGGGGTATTGCAAAGGTGGGTGCTTCTGGGACAAGACTGTTTCAGCAACGAGGTTGTTAAACTTTCCATGATGATAGGCAGTTCTTGGAAAAGGAGGATGGACTACATTCCTATGTTAACTCCCATGTCCTGGGGCATGCAACTCTCATCCAGGTTAGAATGTGCTTTTTCTACTCAGAACGGAACAATCATGGTTAACAGAGCACGGTTAATATTTCTGATCATTATAGTTAGTCTCCACCTTTCTGTTTCTGCCCCTAACACTTGTAGATGCCAAACTGCCACCCTGTTGTGATGCCTTCTGGAACTCGAAGCTGCACCTTCCGCATGGCCCCTCTGGCCTGCCAGGCACCTCAGATGAGAGCTGTGCCCAGGCCAGCACCAGCCACTCAGACGCCCCCAGCAGCTCCACCACCTGCTGTTGGCTCACCTGCTGCTGCACCCTGGCAACCAGGTCTGATGGCCCAGCTGGCGTGGCTGTGGGCTCTGCTGTCAGCCACAGCCGGGATCTTGCCGTCTCTGGGGCTTCAGTGGAGGAAGTAATGCTAAGCCCTCAAGGCCTGACATCACTTATCAGGAGCATGAGGGAACCCAGAGCATCAGCCGTTTGCCCCGTGTCACTGTGACATGAAACAGGTTGGGAGGGTGCCCAGGACCAGGGTGACCGTAAACTTGGTGAGGGTTTCAGCGAGGTGCTGAGACAGGGCAGATTTGCAGTGGATTAGCCTGATCTAAGACACGGAAAATCATCTCTCGGTTGGAGGCTGCAGACTTTCCATCCTAAAACCAAGGCCCAATTTGTCTGTAAGCTGGCAGAGAAGGTCCCCACGCTGGCAAACACTGCCGTGACGTCCTCAGAGCCTTGATTGGCCACATTTTGGCACTGGGCCACAGCTGAGCTGGTTCCTCTGACCCTTATTTATATCTCTACAGCTATTCACAGCTTAAAAAAAAATAGTCAGTAGTTCTCAAACTGGTAGCTTCAAACAGCTTACAGTTAAGGAAGTTCTGCTGAATGGTTTGGTGGCCACTGAGTTGTGGATGTGGTTTTATGTCAGCGAGATCTCAGGCAAGTGTGGACTCACTGACTATAATATTTGAAGACCAATCTTTAACATCTGTTTGGGTTGGCTTGTTTTTTTTATTTTTATTTTTTGCTTTTTTGTTTTTGTTTATTTGGATGTTCTTGGACCATGAGTGATCAGAATGGAATTTGAATTCAAAAAAGGGATATATAAGAAAAAGAAAATCATCTCTCATGACCAAGTTAATTTAGTGTAAAAATATAATTGATAGTGAAAGTATAAAAGTAGCAATTAACCTCTCTTCTATCATTAATAGTTCCCTTGCCTCAGGATTGCAATGGGAGAGGGTATTCTTACTCTATGGAAGTTCACTGAGATGGTATTGTGTTTGAGGCAGGGCCAATGTTGGTATGGCCTCCTTAAACCAGCTTTTGTGATGTGATTGTTTGTGAATCAATTAGGATAACATGATTTTCTTCCAAAAAAAAAAAAAATCCTGTGAGCAATAGTTATTTCATGATGTGTCTTACTGTGCCATAGTGATATGGGAAAATGAAATAAAAATAGGGAAAGATGAGACATACTGCAAAAAAGCTTTAAACCCTGAGATCTTGCTGTAGGTAATAGTGAAAAATGCTCATGAAGTGCTGGGTACAGCTAGGCTCCCCTACCCTTCGTATAGCTTCAGTGCTGTGCATGCTGCACCTTCATGGACCCCCTGGGGCTCCCTCTGGTGGCACAGGAATCCTCAGTGATTACTGACTGTTTTCAAAAATTTCTTACATATTCCTTCACTGAAGCTTTCAATGAGAATAGATTTTTAGCTGATCAGTTTTAAATAATAAAATAAAATGAATTAATCCAAAAACAGATGCTAAAAACAGATCCATAGAAATAAGAAATCTGATATAAGACAGAGGCGGCCTGGGAAATCAATAAAGAAATACGAACTGCCGATATGGCTCAGTGGTTGAGCATCGGCCCATGAATCAGGGGGTCCCAGATCGATTCCTGGTCAGGGCACATGCCTGGGTTGCAGGCTCAGTCCCCAGAAGGGGGCGTGCAGAAGGCAGCCGATCAACGATTCTCTCTCATCATTGATGTTTCTATCTCTCCCTCCTTTTCCGCTTTCTGAAATAAATCTCTGCGCGCACGCGTGTGTGTGTGTGTGTGTGTGTGTGTGTGTGTGTGTGTGTATAATTTTTTTAAGGGAGAAGAAATGCAAACCAACCAGAAAGTGGGCAAATGATTTGGTTAGGTATTACACAGAAGGGGGAGCATTATGGCCAATAAACATATGGAAACATTCTTAACTTCATTAGTGATCAGAGAAATACAAGTTAAAAACAGTGAGTTACCATTTTATACATACCAGATTGGCAGAAACTTAAGAATTGATCAATTTTTTTATGTTTGGTGAGAAAGTGGAGTTGCTTAATTTATAGAAAACTCTCATGTACTTTTTATTTGTTTGTTTTTTCCATCACCATTTATCCCCTCTATGCCCTCTCCTGCCTCCACCAACCACCTCCCCATCCCCCTTCCCCCTCATACACTTTTTTTGGCGGGGGAGGGGAGAGTGGAAAGGAGGGAGACAGAGAGAAACATTGATGAGAGAGAGACACATCAATTGGTTGACTCCCACATGCACCCTAACCGGGGCCAGGGATTGAGCCTGCAACTGAGATATGTGCACTTGACCTAAATCAAACCTGTGACCCTTTAGTCCGCAGGCCAAGGCTGTAATCACTGAGCCAAACCAGCTAGGGTGCCTCATACACTTTTGATGGCACTGTAAGTTTGATAATGACTTTGGGTAACAGTTTAGTTTCTATCTCTCGCTCCCTCTCCCTTCCTCTATGAAATCAATACAAATATATATTTTAATTTTTTTAAAATATATTTTTTATTGATTTTTTACAGAGAGGAAGGGAGAGGGATAGAGAGTTAGAAACATCGATGAGAGAGAAACATCCATCAGCTGCCTCCTGCACACTCCCCACTGGGGATGTGCCCGCAATCAAGGTACATGCCCTTGACCGGAATCGAACCTGGAACCCTTGAGTCCACAGGCCGATGCTCTATCCACTGAGCCAAACCGGTTAGGGCATACAAATATATTTTTAAAAAACCACCACTGCTCTAGGACAAAACTACTGTTAAAAAAAAAAATCTGTGCTCTGTGAGAGCAGGGATTATCCCCTTGCTCTTGGTCTCTGCTTCATTTCATTATGAGACTAGCCTTCCAAACATGGTTTACATAACAGCCAGGTATCTGCTCACACAGCATCAAGATTTCCTATTCACCTCAGCATGAAGTACAATTGCTCCAGGTAATAGAGGATTCAAGGCCTTCCCCAGTCTGACCCCAGCTCACCTTTCTTGTCTTGTTTTCTATCCTCAGTATCTGCTATCGCCACACTAATATCAACACACACACTGAGTTTTCTCACTTCTTGGTCTTTGTTTCTGCCATTATACTAAGTAGTTTCAATTCTAAAAACTGTTCTTTTTATCTCCATCAAGATACCTATCAGCAATAGCTATTTTGCATTTTAATAAGTATCTATTTTTAATATATTGTAAAGAGCAAGATTGTCTACTTAAAGTAACAGACATCAGTTTTAGATGAAAAGTGCAGACACCAACACATTTGCCTATGATTATCTGTGATTATACTTCTGACAGAAGATTCTTTTGTTTGAGCTGAGTACATCTTGTTTTTGCAATATGATTATAGAATTAGAGATCCTGACCACTCATGAGGATCTTATAATTGTAATAACATTATTAGTGCTTTGTATTTGTATGACATGCTGTGGGTAACATAGCCATTCAGTTGATTATCAAGCATTGTTAGAAAATGTCTCCCTCATTTTACAGCTTAGGAAACTGAAGACAAGAGAGAAGTTGTAGTCAATAAAATTGCATACTTTGGTAGGTAAGTTTAAATTATTGCATCTGTAGTAGAAATAAAACTGGCAACAATAATAATAATCTCCTGAACATGGAAGACTATTAAGTCCTGAGTTTTTCCTGTTACCTGAATGACTTGACTTATGGAAAAGTTTACTAATCAAAGATGGATTCATTCAACAAACAATTGCTGAACACCTGCCAAAATGCGAAGCAACATGCTCGGCACTGACAAAATGACAATGATCAATAATGTGATGATGTGATGATGCGGGGTTTCCAAGAAGCTTACAAGGTAGGAAGGGGAAGCTACAGTATTTTTAAGTCGGGTACTATAATAGCGTTTGCATGTGGACCAAAGACTAGACATTATGCTCTCAGTTAACACACTAAAGAGAGCACCTAGTACTTTTCCTTTACCATTAAAAGCCTTCAGAGAGCAGTCAGCAAATTAGTAAGCACACCCAAGGCGGAGGGAACATTCTGATCTATACCAGTGCACTGTTTTTCATAAATAGCATCTTAGTTCACTGGAGGCTATAAGTGAGTGTTTATTACAATATTCATTCCTCTTGATTAAGATGATAGCAAATGATTAATGAATTCCATATCACAATTAAAGTGAAAAGTCCCACCTTTCTGACAAACAGGAATGTCCAGATGATAACAATGATGAATCGGAGAAATGATTGCATAAACCCTTGGGCAGTGACAATCGTTTGTAACTGTGTCTGATTCTAAAAACTTAGCAAAGTTACACTTCTGAACTATTGTGAAGGTTTTAGTCTTAATTCAATGAACAGCTGCACACATGTCTTTGAGCTTAAGTAACATTATCTTTGAATAGTACACATTTATCAACACAAATCTTTAGTCTTGATTACTATTATGAAAATGTCCGATAGTACAGACTAGTAATATTGATGGCAACATAATTAGTAATAGAGTTTTGTGCCCGGCCAGTGTGCTCAGTGGTTGAACATCAACCTATGAACCAGGTTCCATTCCCTGTCAGGGCACCTGCCCACGTTGTGGGCTCAATCCCCAGCAGGGGGCGTGCAGGAAGCAATCGATCAATGATTCTCATCATTGATGTTTCTATCTCCCCCTCTCCCTTCCTCTCTGAAATCAATAAAACAAACACACACACACACACACACACACACACACACACACACATACAGTTTTTAAAGAGTTTTGCATTATGGATCCTTGGATGAGTTCAAACAGAAAGAAATCTAAGGAGTATTTTGTTGATAAGTGATTTCACTTGCTATAAATATAGGCAGCACTTTGCCCTAGAGCAGTGGTTCTCAACCTTCCTAATGCCGCGACCCTTTAATACAGTTCCTCATGTTGTGGTGACCCCCAACCATAAAATTATTTTCGTTGCTACTTCATAACTGTAATTTTGCTACTGTTATGAATAGCAATGTAAATATCTGATATGCAGGATGTATTTTCATTGTTACAAATTGAACATAATTAAAGCATAGTGATTAATCACAAAAACAATATGTAATTATATATGTGTTTTCCGATAGTCTTAGGCGACCCCTGTGAAAGGGTCGTTCGACCCCCAAAGGGGTCGCGATCAACAGGTTGAGAACCGCTGCCCTAGAGTGTCAGCCTGTGGACTGACTGGTCCCAGGTTCGA